GGGGTGTGCGGGCGGCTTCTTTCCCCACTCGGGTTTCAGAGTGTTCACCTCCAGGGTGGGAGGCAGAGGCGGCGGTTGGATGCCAGGCGTCCACCCGGGCACTGCAGCTGCACCCACAGTCACACTCCTTCCGATACCCAGAGGGTCCCGGTGTCGGGAGCCTCTGAGCAGACGCCTGGCCCAGCCTGGAGACCCGGCCTGCCGCGCGGGCCCGAGGCGCGGGACTGGACGGCCGGAGAAGTGGTCTGCGTGGCCGGGCCGACAGGGGGCTCTGGAGACCCGGAACCCGTGTGTTTTCCTGCACGTATGAAGCACCCGGTGTGCGCCCGAGGCCTCGACACAGGCCACACTGGGAGGAGGCAGGCGGACAAGACCTCTGTTCTGGGGGAGGGTGGACAACGGAAAGAATCCTGGTGGCCCTGGCCGGAGGGCTCGGGTGGTTGGAGCTCCGGCCGAAGGGCTGCACGCCAAAGGGTCGCGGGTTCGACTCCCCTCATCGGGACGCGTCGGGGAGGCAGCCAGCCGATGCTTCTCCCTCTCGTGGACGTGTATGTGTGTGTGTGTGTGTGTCTCTCTCTCCGCCCCTCTCCCTGCCCCTCCCTCTCTCTCTAAGGCTCAGGAAGTGCCTGTCCTCAGGTGAGGGTCCGACATGACAGTGGTAATAAGGTAACCCTCAGGGGCCCTCACGGCCCTTGCTCTGAGCCAGGCCCTGCCGCGGGTGCTGGCTTGTGTTTCGTCTTCCGTGCATTAGCTCCCTCGTTCTCCCGGTGAGCCATGCGGGCGGACAGGCCGCCAGGCCGCAGGCCCGCCCCGGCACACACACCGGGACCTGCAGCCCACGGGCGCCTCCAGCTCAGTGCCCCGAACCGGAAGGGCCCCCTTCACCAGGCACTGTCCCGAGACCTGCCCCGCCTCCCTGGAGCCCGTCCCTGGCTTCGGGGCAGGGGACCGGGACCTGCCCTCCTCCAGGCCCTGGCCTCCAGGACTGGGGTGCAATCCCCAGCAGCACAGCCCCGCCCGCCCACCCTTCTCCCGCCTGCCCCCGCTCCCGCTCTGGCCGGGAGGTGACCCTCCCGGGGTGAGGTCGCCCCTTTCAGGTGTATCCTGAGAAATTCACTTTCTGCAGACAGCTGGTGTCAAGTCCAGAAGTGATAAGTGCCTAAAGTTAGTGATCGGCTTTTTTTGGAAACTGCTGAGGAATTTTATGCCCAAAAGAGCTGAAATCGGAAATGTGCGGGCCCTCGACTCTCTCGGCAGTTCGGGGGCCGCTGCAGCTGGAGCCCAGACGCCCGTCCGCCCGGCGGGGGCTGCAGGCAGGTGTGGTGGATCCCGACGCCTCACAGGGGCGGCCCCGTGCTGTGGCCACAGCGGGCCTGAGACCACATAGCCCCAGCGGGTCGGCGGCCGCACCCACCCCTTTTCCTCTCCCCAGGCCCCAGCCCGGGGGGGTCAGAGTTGCTCCTGGGGTTCCTGCTCGGGCTCTGCGTGAGGGTCCTGGAAGGGTCCTCCTAGGAGAAGGCGAAGGCTGAAGGGACGCTGGCACCCTCCCCGAGCCGCCCCTACCAGCTTCTCTGGCTGCGAGCCCCACAATCAGGCCCCGCCGAACTCCACCTCCGGACGAGGCGCCTCTCGGTCCGAAGGCGCTTACTCCGGCGGCAAGAGGCAGCGTCAGCGGGGGTCGTGCGCCGGTCACCTCCCATGCAGGCGCGCGGAGAGTCCCCGTCAGCTCCCGCTAGACCCGCGGTGGTGGGACGGGCTGCGCCAGACTGGGGAGGGGGCTCGGCCGGGCGGGGCCGCTGCAGCCGGAGGGGGCGGAGCTCGTGGCTCCGGGGCGGCCAGGGAGGCAGGTGAGGTGGCGGCCGGGTTCGGGGCGGGGCGGCTCCCAGCTCCGCGCTCCCCGCCCTCGCGTCCGCGCCCGCGCGAGCGCCCTCCCTCTCCCGCCCGCCTGTGCCACCGCCGCGGCCGCCGGAGAAGCAACTTCGCGAGCGCCCGAGACCCGCCGGACCCTGGCGCCGCGCCGGTGCAGCCCGAGCGGCCGGAGGCCATGAACGCGCTGGCCTGGCTGCTGCCGCCGCTCCTCCTGCTCTGCGCGCAGCAGCCCCGCGGCACCAGGTGAGCGGCCCCGCGTCCGCGCGCGCCGGCGCCGACACCGGGCTGCGGGGACGGAGCGGGGCGCGAACCCCGGCTCGCCCCCTGTCTGCCCGCCCGGTTGCCCCCGCGCCCGCCCCCAAGCCCGCCCCCCTTTCTCCGTGTCTGCCCCCCATCCTCCCATGTCGGTCCCCGCCCCTGGTTCCCCTCGTGTCTGTCCCCCGCCCCAAGTTTGTCTTGTGCCGCCCCCGCCCGCGCCCCCTCGTCTGTCCGCGTCTCTCTCGGGGCCGCCCCCGCGCCGTCTCCCCGCGCCCGCGCTCCTTTCCGCACCCCGGCCGCGGCCGCCCCCGGGTGCTGTCCGCCGTCCGGTGCTGAACCGGCGCTGCGGGGCGGGGCGGGGCGAGGGTCGTAGCTGTTCTCAATTTTGCCCCGAGGAGCCCGGGCAGCACTTGGCCGGCGCCCGGCCGGCGAGCGCCCTTCCCGGCGCGGGCTGCGCGCTGCGCGCTGCGCGGCAGGAGGAAAGGGGGGACGCGAGAACCGGAGGAGGCTCCCCCTCTCCGTGGGAGCAGAGCCGCGCGGGCTCCTCTGCGTCCTGGGGCAGGTCGCAGCTGTGTGCTGTGAAAGTGCCGGCTGGGGTGCCGGGGTCTCCCTCCAGAGGTCCTTCCAAAGGGCGTCCTCCCAGCCTGAGCTCGGGGAGACGCAGGTGGGAGCAGACCAGGTGCCCCCGGCAGCAGGAAACCTCGGGATCTCTTCCCGGCAGTGGGTGGGACGAGGGCCCTGGCTCCCCGGGAAGGGCTCCGGGGGCCTAGGCGCCCTCCGGCTGCCTCCCAGACGCCAGCACAGTCCGGGCTCCGCTCCGCTCCCCGCCGGGCCCCTTCCGTGGGCGTCGTGGGGGCCGCTTTGGTGCCCGGGCTCTGCAGAGCAACGGCAGACCAGATGCCCCCCTTGTCCGACGCCATGGTCAGCCAGGGGACGTCAAAGGCTTCAGAACTGGAAGCGGCTGACCCCCAGCCGGCCTCGGGCTGTAAGTGCTCAGGCAGCTCAGCAGCGAGGATGTGGCCGGAGGCCCTCGCTGCTGGGGCGGGGACAGAGCCAGCACAGCCCGGGAACAGCCGCTGTCCCTGTGGTGCCCGCGGGGCTGGGGCGCCCCATCCCCGGGGGGGGACTTGCTCTCTCCCCGAGCCCCAAAGGCCTTCTGGCTTCCCCCTCCCTGCTGCACAGAACCGGGAAGGGACGGCTGAGGCCGGCCGGAGCTGCATGCGCTGGACGCCCCGGTCGGCTGGCGGCCCAGCCCCTGGCCTTGGCAATGAGATCCGAACCTCAACATCTTAGCCCCAGTGTGACCCCAACACTCATTTGGCAGGAGAGCCTGTCTCTCTCCAACCAGAGGATCGTCCATCTTTACCCGCCCTGTTTCAGGGTCACATTTATGCATGTCCCGCTGGGATGTTCCCCAGACCCCCCGAGAGTGCACGCAAACCATGCCACCTTTCTGAAGTCTGGAACATTCTGAACTGCGACCGACCCCCCATCTGGCTCCGGGGTGTCGGGTGAGGGGTGTCACCTGTGCTCTGTGGGCCTGGGTGGGCCGCCTTCAGACCTCTCCCTCCCTGCCGTCAGCTTCGGTGCCCTCAGCCCAGAGAGCGGAGGGCTGCACCCTGGCCCCTCGGCGTCCAGGTCCTCACCCCCGCAGCAGCGGGGGGCAGTGGGACTCACGGGAGGTGCCTGAGCCGGCCGCCGCTGCGCAGCGGTGCCGGCGGGAGAAGCTCGGTGGGAAGAGAAGCCACATGTGGGGCAGCGTCGGGGGGTGGGGCTGGGTCGAAGCCAGGGGCCTGCCCACCCACTGGGGTGTGGGCGCCGAGTGGGCGGCCCTCCCCAGCTGCCGGCACCTCGGTCTCCCTGGAGAGGCCGCGCCCGCAGCCCCCACCTCGCCGGCTCCCTGTGCGCCTGCGACGGGCTCCTCTTCGCCTTGGTAACTGAGGTGCCGGCGTGGCTGGTGTTGCTCTAAAAACAGAGCTGCCGGGGCTCCGTGGGCTGGTGTGTGTGCATGGTGGCGGCCCTCGCAGGGAGCAGGGCCCCGCGGCTCTGCTCAGCGAGCCCACCTTCCCCTGTCCTGTCCCCCACCAGTCCCCTGGGACGCAGATGAGTGACAGGGGCAGGAGCGGGGGGAGGTCTGCTGACACCCAGAGTGCAGGGCGGGAGCTGCCCGTCCCGTCCCGGCGGCCACTGCTTCCCCGGAGCTGGCCACCATGCGGAAGGAAGCCCCGCCCTGGGCCACCACAGGGGTCCCGGGCTGCCTTGGGCCAGAGGCCCTCTCCCCAGACGCTGGTCAGAGCCACCAGGTCAGAGCCACCGTGCTCTTGCTCCCGGTGGAGCTCCCCACCCCCGGCCCCACCCCCAAACGCCCCCTGGCATCCAGACTAGCAGGGAGCAGGCCCTCCTTGGCATTCCGGCCCCTTGCGTCCCTCCGCAGCCGGGACACGGCCAGCCCTGTCCTAGCTAGGAAGGGGCCTCCGGGGGAGCCTGCCCCCTTCTCGCTCCCAGAGGCGGCAGAGGCTCAGCAGTCTCTGGCGGGTGCCCCGCTCCTCCCAGGCCGGCTTCACGCAGGGGCCGGCCCTGGTGCTGCCCTCCTGCCCCAGAGTGGGTGTGGGATGGGGGGTGGGGGGGGCAGGGGGGAGGAGGAAGGAGGGTCCCCCCCCTGCACCGCTGCCCCGAGGCCCGGGAAGGACAGCGTCTCCTGACGACCTCGTTCCGGCTGCCGCTGCCGCTGGATGGCAGCTGGGCCAGTCCAAAAATAAAGCCTGTTTCAGATCCCTTTCCGCCGACCTTCAGGGTGACCTCCATTCGCCTGTTTGATGGTGCTCTGCTTGGGGCCGGGACTTCTTATCCGTTCCGTCTTACACTTGGTTACACAAAGAGCCGGCCCACCCCTCCCTGGATGGGGCCGTGAACCTCCAAGGTGGACCTCGGGGTAGATTGGGGTCTTCAGTGTCATTCGCCGAGAAGCTCCAGGCTCCGAGTCAACCTTCCTCAAAAGGTCACGTGTGAAAGGGACCAGGGGCCTTGGTGCCCCTGCCACTGGGGCTCGGGAACCCAGACGGCCCCGGGGGTTCTGGGCTCTCTGAGGGCGCAGGGCGGGGCTCCCTGTCTGGGCCGCAGACTCAGCCCCGGAGCCCCAGTCCCCACTCACGGCCACTCCAGAAATGCAAGGTCCCCCGGGTGGGGGGGGGCCCAGGCCCCTCTCTGTCTCAGGTGTGTCTGGCCCAGGGTCACCTGTTCGCTCCCCCCTCCCCCAGGGTGCACGTGCACTCTCTCTCCAGAAGCCCGGTTTGGAAACGGGAGCCTTGTCCCGAGCCCAGGGCCGGGTGAGGCAGTGGTGGGCTTGTGCAGGGGGGGGCGGAGGACCGGAAGGGGGGGGACGGGGACAGAGGCTCGGCCGAGGCCCCAGGGGGCTCTGGAGGAGCAGGGGGAGCCGGAGTCGGAGAGCCCAGGTGTGGGCTGTGGTGGACCCCCGCGGTGGGGCACTGGGCGAGGGGCTGGACACGGGGGCAGGGCCGCAGCCTGGCTGTGTGGACAGTCACAGCGGAGCAGGAGCGGGGGGCCAGGCCACAGACGACAAGGAGGTAGTCCCCGGGGAGCAGGAGGCCAGGGGAGCCTGGGGTGCGGCCCCCACCCTTGGGAGGGAGGATTGGCCACCGCGCGGTGGGGACCCAGAAGGGACGCCAGTCTTCTCGTCACAGCAGAAGGAAGGGCCTGGAGTGGGCGCCTGGGCCCACGGTCAGGGCTGGCTCTGGATGGTCTGTCTGCAGGCACAGGGAGCCCAGAAGTCCGGGTTCCTGGCCACCCCAGATCCAGATCCTGGCCCCTCACGTGTCCCCCGTGAGCTCAGGCCAGGCTTGGGGCCCAAAGTGACCCGTCAGAATGGAAGCAATTCAGAGAATAGCAGGAGCATTACTCTTGAACGGCCCCGGTCACCTCTAGCTCTGCGACTGAGGGAAAGTGCCCTGCCCCCCCACTGTGTGAGCCCCTCCCTGAGGGCTGGAGGTCAGGGACGACTGTCCTGGGGCTGCTGTAACCAGTGACCGGAAACCTGGGGGCTTAGAACCACAGACACTGGGTCTCTGCCACTTCTGGGGGCTGCAGGTTCAATACCACGGTGCGGGCAGGCTGCTTCCTGCTGAGGCCACGAGGAGGACCCGTTCCCAGCCTGTTCCAGCCCCCAGTGCTTCCAGCCCCCGGGCCTGTGGCTGCCCCCCTCTGCCCCCGTCCCCGCACTCGGGGGGCATGGGACCCACCCTCGTCCATCCAGCACGACCTCATCTCAGCCAGTCTCAGCCACAGAGACCCTGTTTCCAAAGGAGGCGCCGCTCTGAGGTCCTGGGTGGGCGGGAGTTTCGGGGGCCGCTGCTCATCACCCCGGGTCAGGTGGACGGAAGGAGGGTGGGCAGATGTTGCTTCTGGGGAGCTCGGTGTGTCCGGCTGTCCAGCGTGTGCATGGACACAAGGTGTCTGCCACACGGGAGACGCCCGCGGTGGCCCCGCCAGGCTGTCAGTGGGATCGTCCTGCAGCCGGGAGCTACGGCCCCTGCTTCCCTGGAGTCACACTGAGCTCCAGAAGTGCATGGCGATTTGGGGGGACTCTGGGGTGAGGCCCGGGCCTGTCGGCAAGGGACAGAGAGCAGGAGGCCGGCTGCCCCTGCCCCTGGGCCGTCCAGGTCTCCCCCCCTGCCCCTCCCAGGCCCTGGGCCTCAGCTTCCTGGTCGTACACTTTTCTCCCGAGTCCCCACCTGCAGGGGACTTTGCTTCAGAGGCTGCAAGGCTGCTGGGTGGCCGTGTCAAGGTCGCTTGGGCCTGTCCGATGGGGGGGCTCTGGGCTGGCTGCCCCCCGAGGAGCATTTGTGGAGGGAGTCGGAGGGCACAGGCCAGGCTGGGGGCTCTGCCGGGCCCTGGCAGCCTCCGTCCAGGCCGAGCTGGTGGGGCAGACACAGAGGCTGGGGAAAGGACGGGGCAGCCCTGGGCCCTGCGTCTCCCTGGGCGCCCTGTTTCCGGCGAGACTCCTGGCCTGGAGGGGCCCTCAGGGGGTCCTCCCTGTCCCTGCTGGCCCAGGTGCCGGGCACAGAGCGGCCGCCTCAGGTAGGGACACAGGTTCTGTCCCCGGGGCCGCGCCTGAGACCAGTGTGGGCCTTGCTCCCCCAGAGCGATGAATGACATCGGGGACTACGTCGGCTCCAACCTGGAGATCTCTTGGCTCCCCAACCTGGACGGCCTGATCGAGGGCTACGCCCGGAACTTCCGGCCGGGCATCGGAGGTGAGCCGGCAGGCGGCTGGGGCCCGGGGCCTGCCCTGTGTGCGTGTGACCCCTGGCTCGGGGCTGGCTCCCCCGAGTCTGTGTCACATCTGGAGTGCCGCCCCCGGGGACCCAGCTGGGAAGGTGGGCCCTCTGGGCCTCGCCGCAGACTTGCGCCCACATGGCCCCCTCCACAAAGCACCCGGCTGCTCCCGCCCTGCCTGCCTGGGGGGCCAGGGTCTGGCCTCAGCCCCGCTCCCTCCTCCCAGGCCCCCCTGTGAACGTGGCACTGGCCATCGAGGTGGCCAGCATCGACCACATATCCGAGGTGAACATGGTAGGTGCCGTCCGCCTCCATCCCCCCCGACCCCCGCGGCCGTGCGCCCTGGGGCAGAGCGGCTGACGGGGGTGGGGGGCCCCTGCCCCCACAGGAGTACACCATGACGGTGTTCCTGCACCAGAGCTGGCGTGACAGCCGGCTCTCCTACAACCACACCAACGAGACGCTGGGCCTGGACAGCCGCTTCGTGGACAAGCTCTGGCTCCCGGACACCTTCATTGTGAACGCCAAGTCTGCCTGGTTCCACGACGTGACCGTGGAGAACAAGCTCATCCGGCTGCAGCCGGACGGCGTGATCCTGTACAGCATCCGGTGAGCCCGCCGCCCGCTGCTGGGGGGGTGGGTCACACCCGCCAACGACCGGCAGCCGCCCGGGACGCGGCCGAGGCCGAGGTGGCCGCCCGGGAGGGAGCTGGCGGGCGTAGCCTTTGGCCAACACAGAGTTTTCCTCAGAAACTGGGGTGAAATCCACCCAACGCGAGATGCACCGTCTGCGTCTGATTCGGTCTTTATCGTGGTTTTCCCGTCAGCACTTAGCACCCTGGCGCCCCCTCCCGCCAGCAGCCCCCACACGGTCGTCCACGAGTCCCTGTCCCCCCTCGCTCAGTCCCTCCGCCCCCTGCCCCCAGCCCCCCACCAGCTCTCGTCTGTAAAGGGGACCCTTGAAACACGAACAGCGCAGCCACGGTCACTGCTCTCCCAGCCTCGTGCAGACCTCAGCTCTGTGTAGGTCCAGACCCCCCAAAGGGGGCCCCGTGCCCCCCCCGGCGGTGGCGCTGCACCCGCCGCGGGCACCGCCCGCCCCCGCGTCCGTGCGTGTGCCCCGCCTGCACGCGCCGTGGAAAGCGAGTCACACCCCGGGTGACCTTGCGCGCCCGGCAGCTCCCCCTTGGCGAAGCGCCTGCGGGGCTCACGCACGTTGTGGTGCTGGGCGGGATCTCACCCCTTCTTGGGCGGACACCCCGTACGCGCCCCCCGGTGCCCCCACCCACTCGCCCACCCACGGACGCTGGGCCGCGTCTGCCTTCGGGCGGCTGTGGGTTACGCTGCTACGAACACGTGTGTCTGGGTGTTTGAACACGTGCTCTGGGACACGGGCCTCATGACGATGGCATTCATTGCCAACGTTTCAAAAATCAGGAGGGTTACACGGGAGTCTAAGTTCTCTGGGGAAATCGGAACCCCGGGCAGCCGGTCCGGCTCCGTTTCACGGTCAGCAGGCACCCCGGGGCGTCTGCCTGGTGGGCTGGGCACATGGCGGGACCAGCCTCCCAGGGCCTGCCCTGGCCACAAAGTCCATCGTCTTGCGGGACGAAGAAAGTGAATGGAGCCCAGTCCTTCATTCCTGAAGGACGAACCACAAATTTCTGTAAAGTGGTCAGTTCTCAGTTTCCACCCAGGAGCCGGCTTCCCACCATCAGAGGTGGGCGCCGGGCCCCACCCAGGCGGGGGCTCCCGGAGACGCCCTCTGGGCGGCACGGGCGCCTCTCAGCCTGTCCGGCAGGGGGCGCTGCCAGCCCGCGGGCCCGGCCTCACACCTGGCGACCTCCCGCACAGAATCACCTCCACGGTGGCCTGTGACATGGACCTGGCCAAGTACCCCCTGGACGAGCAGGAGTGCGCGCTGCACCTGGAGAGCTGTGAGTGCCGCCCCGGGGGCGGGGCTCCTCGGGCGTGGCCTCCCTGCGCCCCGGAGGGTGGGTGGGGCCTCGGCTGGGGGCCCGCGGGGGGGTCTCCGACTGTCCAGGCCCAGGGCGGCCAGTCCGGCTCGGCCGCAGGGAGGCGTCTGGGATGGGGTGTCCCTGGCGCGAGAAGCCTGGGCAGGAACAGAAGGGGCTATGAGGCCAGAGGAGCCTGCCCGGGACAGCCAGGCCACCGCGGCAGCCCCCGCGGCTCACCGGGGGGCCACGGTGACCTGCGCTCCTGCCGCTCTCCTGGCCCCGCCCACCCGCCCGACGCCGCCTCCTCACTCCGCGTTGCTGCTGTGCTGGGCTCCGGGTGGGGGCAGGGGGCTCCCGCGGGGGGGCCCCGGGCGCTGAGGGCGCTGGGCTCCCCCGCAGACGGCTACTCGTCCGAGGACATCATCTACTACTGGTCGGAAAACCAGGAGCAGATCCACGGGCTGGACAAGCTGCAGCTGGCCCAGTTCACCATCACCCACTACCGCTTCTCCACGGAGCTGATGAACTTCAAGTCAGGTGGTGCGGCCTCGCGGGGCCTCTTCCTGGGGGGGGGCCTCTTCCTGGGGGGGGGCTCTTCCTGGGGGCGGCTCCGAGGGTGCAGCTGGGGCACGGGCCGCGCAGGGTGGACGTGGGTCAGCTCTTTTTCTATTTATTCCCTGGCCCTCTGTCGCTTCCCAGTGGCTGGCAGCACGCTGGGCTTGAGGGCAGCCTGAGGATGTGGGGTGCTCCTGGGACCCCGGCACTGCAGGGGCTCGGGGGCCGAGCCTCGGGGCTGCCTTGTGTCCTGGCCGCTCTTGCGCCGCCACCAGGGCCTGGGAGCCCAGCCTTGCTCTTTCCGGGAGACTGGCTCTGCGTGGCAGAGGGCCAGGGGAGGAGGGCCCCCCGGGCCAGCGCGGGGACGATGGCGGGCTCTTCCTCCGAGCCTCCCTCTGGGTGGCCCTGTGGCGCGGCCGGCCTCTCCCTGAAGGCTGGGCCCGGGGCTGGGGAGACCCCTGACCCACCAGGCTGCGTGGGGAGGTGGAGGAGGCAGGGGTCTGGGGTCCTCCTTCCTTGTGAGAGTGGCCACAGCCCCGAGGACCGGGGTGGTGGCGGGGCGGGGGCAGGGGCGGTGCCGGGCCCTGACCGGGTCTGGTCCGCAGCCGGCCAGTTCCCGCGGCTCAGCCTGTACTTCCAGCTGCGGAGGAACCGGGGCGTCTACATCATCCAGTCCTACATGCCCTCCGTGCTCCTGGTCGCCATGTCCTGGGTCTCCTTCTGGATCAGCCAGGCCGCCGTGCCCGCCAGAGTGTCTCTCGGTACCGGCCTGGCCTCTCCTCCCGGGAGGTGGCGGGAGGCCAGGGGTGGGGCCAGCCGGGCCAGGCCCGGGCAGAGGAGCCGGCCTGTCCCCGGTGGGGCTGGCGTGGCGCCGAGATCAGCCCGGCGACTCCCGCAGGCATCACCACGGTGCTCACCATGACCACCCTGATGGTCAGCGCCCGCTCCTCCCTCCCCCGGGCGTCGGCCATCAAGGCGCTGGATGTATACTTCTGGATCTGCTACGTGTTCGTGTTTGCCGCGCTGGTGGAGTACGCCTTCGCCCACTTCAACGCCGACTACCGGAAGAAGCAAAAGGCCAAGGTCAAGGTCATGGAGCAGAGGGCAGAGGTGAGGATGGGCCAGGCTGGGTCTCTGGAGCTCAGGACCAGGGACAGCACCCCCCCTCACCCAGCCCAGCCCAGGACCCTCTGCCGCCTGCCCTGCGGACGTCACTCCCCACGCCGGGGCTCTCGTGTGCTTGCCTGGGCCGGGGGTGGGTGGGCGGTCGGGGGTCTCGAGTGGCAGCCCTGGGGGCCTGGGCCAGGCGGCCCTCAGCCCCGCCCCACCCCTCCCTGCAGATGGACGTGAGGAGCGCCATCGTCCTCTTCTCCCTCTCGGCCGCCGGCGTCTCCCAGGAGCTGGCGGCGTCGCACCGGCCAAGCCGCGCGCCCCGGAACCTCCTGGGCTCCTACAGGTCGGTGGAGGTGGAGACGGGGGAGCCCCGCAAGCAGGGGGGGGCCCGCGCGGGGGCCCGGGGAGGCCTCCGCGCGCTCTTCAAGCCCATCGACGCAGACACCATCGACATGTACGCCCGCGCCGTGTTCCCTGCGGCCTTCGCCGCCGTCAACGTCGTCTACTGGGCGGCCTACACCATGTGAGGCCGGCCCTCCGCGGCCCGGGACTTCCCGGGGGAAAGGACGCCCGGGCGGGACCGGCCTGCTCCTGAGGGGGAAAGGGGGGACGAGAACGGGCCACGTGAGGCCGGAGGGCGGCCTCCGTGCCCCCAAGCAGCGGCTCCGTCCCCTCCCTCCCTGGGACGCCCGCTGGGCGGCTCCCACCGCCTCCCCCCCACCCGAGGACGTCCGGCCAGCTCCTCCGTCCCAGCAGCGGAGCCGGCCTGCCCCGAGACCCGGCCGGCGGACGCAGGGCCCTGGGAGGCCTGTGCGCTTTCGGGGCTGGAAGAGCGAGCCGGCTCCAGGGCCCCGCCCTGTGGGCCTGAGCCTGGCGGGGGCACGAGGCTAGGCGTGGACGGCACTCGTCGGGCTGGTGACAAGGTGGGGACAAAGGTTCGTGGGTCTTTGGTCCCAGCATGAAATAAAGCAAAGCCTTTGGCCGGCGTGACGTTCTCTGCCACCACGGCGGGGCTGCGGCCTCCTCTCCCGGGGCTGGAGACCGCTCCTCCAGCCGTGGGCTCGCGGGACTCGAGGGCAGAGCGGCTTGGCGGCTGCACCCCAGAGGCTGAGCTGTGTGGCCACGTCCGGGGCATCCACGGGAGGGGCAGAGGTCGGGGAGGGGGCGTGGCTCCTCAGTCTCCAGGTCCCACGGCCAGGTGCCAGGGCAGTGCCATCTCGGAGGTGGCAATGGGAGGACAGAGGCCCTCAGGTCCCACGAGCACCCGCAGCCCCTGTGCACGCAGGTGACAAGGTCACAGCTTGGCAACCACAGCCACTGGAGATCTGACTGACGGGCAGCTCCGCCCCAGGGGGCGCGGTTCCCAGCGCTGCCTGGGAGGGGCAGAAGCTTGACCCGAGGGCAGCTCCGCAGGCTGCCAGCTGCGGCCGGGGCCAGGGCGCGGCTCCGGCGGGCGGGCACGGTCAGCCCGGCGCTGTGCCCAGTGCCCAGGGAGCAGCCAGGCCACGGGCCTGCTGGGCCCGTGATGCCCCTCCCGGGGGGCCCACCTCAAGCCATCTCGAGGGGCACGTGTCAGAGGCCTGGTGTGAGTCGGAAAGGGGGCCCTGCTGGGCCACCCGCCCCGGGGTCCCCAGTGTCCTGAGGGTGCTCACCCACAGACAGGGCTCGGCCGGCGGAGTGGCCGCTGGGCTCAGGCGCCCCAGACAGGGGCCCGGGGCCCGGCTGGCCCCCAAAGGACTGACCCTGTGCACAGGCAGAGGGCATTACCCCCTGCCCAAACCACGGAGCAGGGCTCACTACCTTTCCCGCCCCAGCCCTGCTTCGGCTCAAGGCCCCCACCTCCTGAAGACCCCCCCACATCCTGCGGCCCCTTTGGACCCGGCTGTGAGGGACTGGGCTGCAGGGTCATCCTGGGGGTGAGAGAGGCCGGCCAGCAGGGCCTCCGGGCTCCAGTGTGGCCGGGAGCCGGGAGCAGGGGGAGGACAGACGGCCTGGGATCAGCAGAGCCGAATCTGGGTCAGCCAGGGCTCCTGGCCACCTCCGGACAGCGGGGGGCGGCAGGCCGGGCCAGCCGGCTCCACGGATGGACAAACAAAGGCTGGGCAGGGCAGTGGCCTTGGACACCCCAGCCCCAGCTTGGCCCCTCCTGTCTGTGTGGCCCTGGGCAGGGCCACTGCCCCCTCCTCCCTGGGGGCTCCCCGGGGTGGGGGGAGGGGACGGCACTCTGAAGGTTCGGGGCTGGGCCAACCCGGCCCCCGAGGTCCTGCCCTGAGCCTGCTGCCAGGCCTCCGGGGGGCCTGCAGGGGGGCTCCAGGTATGCGGAGCTGCTGGGCTCGCCTGGGTTCAGAGGTCAGTGCGGCTGCAGGACCCTGCCCATCCCGGCGTCGCCCTCCCGCCTGCCCTGGGCTTGCAGGCCGCCCTCCTCCTGTGGTCGGGGCCCACGAGGAGCTATTTAAAGCCAGCTTGGTGCCGCCTGCAGCACCCACACAGCCAGGCCCACCCGGGCAGGAGCCGTCGCCTGATTCCGCCACCAGCAATCACTGCCTCCAGCCTGCAGGCTGCTATTTCTGCCGCGTGTTTACAGGGCAGGAAGAGGGACGGGAAAACTGCCTTTGAAGCACCGAGTTCTATTCTGGTGGCGGCGACAGGAGCCGCCTGAAGGCCGGGCAGAGCCGGGCTTGCAGCTGAGCAGAGCTGGCCTGGAGGTGGCTGGCACACTTCCTGCCCTCCGGCGCCTGGCTGGGCCAGGGGCGGGGAGCGGCGGGGCTCCCCACCCAGCAGGTCCGTCTTCGGGGGCTCGTGGCCTCCGCGTCTGTGGCCCCCGGTGGCCGCTGGAATGCATGTCGTCGGTGGAGATTTGGCTCCTTCTGAGAGCCGGGACAGCTCTCCCCCGGACCACGGGGGCTGCAGGGTCAGGGGGCAGCGCCCCAAACTCCTCCTCTCACTGCGGCCGGGGTGAGCAGTGCCCCTCCTCTGTCAGGGAGGCAGGCGGCGCACTCGCCACCCCTGGGCACGCCAGTCGGGTTCCCTCGGTGGCAGAGCCGGACACGGGGGCTGAGGTGCACGGAGTTCATTGGATGAGGAGTATTGGGGTGCTGGGGCTGCCTTCACAGAGAGCCACAGACTGGCGGGCTTAAAACAAAACGGAGCTGGGGCCTCCCAGGTCTGGAGGCCGGAGTCCGAGCTCCCGGTGTGGGCAAGGCCGTTCCTTCAGAGGGGGAGCCGGCCCCAGCAACACCCCCCCCCCGGCCCCTGCTGCCCCTGGCGCTGCCGGCACTCCTGGGCCTGCAGGCTCGTCCTCCGTCTCTGCATTCGGAGCTGCATGGCCTGGCGCTCTGCACGCCCTCTCCACTTGTCCTCGGGTTTAGGGCCCCTCAGTGCGGTGTGACCCCAGTTTAACTCATTGCAGCTGTGCAGGCCTCGCTTCCACGGAGGCCCCATTCTGAGGTTTGGGGGATGGGATTTGGGGGGCCACTGTCCAGCCCGGCCCAGCAGTGACCTGTGGAAGCGGCAGCACAGGTGCAGGGAGAACAGAGGACGGAGGTGCTTCCCTGGCCTGGGGCGCCCCAGTCCCGGTCCCACTGGGGGCTCCCACAAGGCGTGTGGAGGGCTCCCCTGAACAGTCCCTCTGAGGAGCAAGGGGCTGGGGCATCTGTCACCTGCTCCCCCTGCCTCGGGGGCTGCCCACAGACACGCTGATCAGACACCCTGCCACGCCGTGCAGCCTGCTGCAGACAGGGGCCACCCGGGGGCTGCGGCCCCACTCAGCGGGGTGTCCCCCCACATGGGCCGCGTCTGCTCAGGACACCACTGCTCCCTCGAGGTGATCGCAGCGGCAGCAAGAACACCTCCCCGGTGCCTGGGCACCGGCCGCCGCCGCCCGCTCTTCCCCCGCATCGGGCGAGAGCTGTGCAGAGAAGTGCCGTCTCCTCCTGAACCTGAACGCAGTTTGTCAGCTCCGCGGCCCCGCCTGGGGAGGGGGCGACGGGGGCCAGCGAGGGCCGGGTGCTGTCTGCAGACGCGGCTGGCTTTCCTTCGGGAGTGGCAGCCTGGGCCCCGCCCACAGGAGGCTCCTGACCTTGGGTGACAAGGTGGCAGGAGACCTTCCTCCCCCTGGGGCAGCTGGGTGCTTTCCCAAGAGACAGATGCCAGGCACAGCCGGGCTGTGGGGCCCCGCCGGGCTGTGTGCTGGGGACACCTGGCAAGGTGTCTGTGTGTGCACATGTGCGGGCGTGTGCCATGTTAGATCTCAGAGGTCACGGGGAGCCCGGGGTGGGCTTGGCCTCCGCTGGGCAGCCAGCCCCCGTGTGGCCTCCCACCTGCAACCTGGCGGGCGGCGAGCAAGGCACACTCCTGGGAGACACAGATGCTCGCTTTTCCTGCCCCTCCCCAACACGGCGTCCCGGAAGGGGCAGGACGGGGCCACAGGACGGGAACCTCTTCAGGGCTCTGGGTGCGTTCGGTCACTTGGCTTCCTGGAAGACGGTCCCAGCCACGCCTCCTGGTGTGTGGTGTGTGTGTGGTGTGTGTGTGGTGTGTGGTTGTGGTGGGAGGCCTCCTCTCGTGGCCAGGACAGGCCACGGCACGAGTCCTCGCTGCTCCTCGCCCCGAGGCCTGCCGCCCTGACCCTGGGGAGAGTTACAAGCCACACCGCGCACACGCAGCCACCCCCGCCCGGTACTGCCTCCCAGCCTTTGAGCAGAAGGCAAGGGAAACTGGGGAGAGCGGCTCAGCGGGCGCGGATGGGTCCCCAGCGCCTGAGGCTGGGCTACGCCAGCCTGCGAGCCCAGCTCCCCAGTCGAGGACAGACCTGGCTCGGCCACGTCGTGTCCCTGTGATGTTTGGAGTGAACCGCAGCCCTGTCTGCCTTCACGTGGCGAAAATAGCAGCCCGTTGCCATGGTGACGGAGGGTTTGGGTGCTGCCTCCTCAGCCGTGCAGCCGCTTTGGGTTTCGTTATGATCCCAGGCAGTCTAGGGGGTGGCACAGTGGGGCCCGCCCCCCACCCCCGCCTCTGCCACCGTTTCCCTCCGAGGTGCTCAGAGGGGCGTGTCTTAGGCCCCAAGGAGACGGGGGTCACTGCAGGGTCACACCCACCTGGGAGAGATGAGCCGTGCGACCCCGCTGGCCCGGCTGCAGCCAGCTGTCACGTGGGGTCCCAGCCCTGGCTTTGCTGGCCTTGTGACCTGGACAAAGCACTGGGCCGCCCTCAGTGTCCTCTTCCGGAGGATGGGGCCGTGATGCCACCACCTTGAGAACTACCAAAGGCCCCTGAGCTGAAGCCTGACACCGAGGGGACCTCGAGAGTGGGGTCGCCATCGTGCGTGGGGTCTCGATCTTGCAGGACCAGGGACGCCTGCGCCTCAGGGTACAAGGGGACAACAGACTGTGGAGTCTGTGTGGGGGGGCGTGTGAGAAGAGCCACAGGACAAGGCCGAGCACAGCAGCGTCCAGCTCTGTCCCGCCTTGCTGCCAGCGTCCTCGAAGCCCCCTGCGCCCCCCAGTCCAGCCTCCCCTCCCTTCTACAGCCCCTGGACACAGCAACCCCACCCCTCCACGCCGCCCTGCCGCCCAGCACGTGCCTTGGTGCCGCAGGAACGCTCGCAGACGCGCATGCGCATGCTCGCACGCACAGACATGCGCACACACTGCCTCCGTTCGCAGAAGCCCTGCAGCGATGTTAAACGGGGACCGTTTGGTGTAAAGGGTGAAGACTTGGAACAGGTGGGTGGGAGCTGTGAATGGGGGTGGGGGCTGGGAGGGGCCTGAGGGAGGCTCGCATAGGGTGAGCTGGAAGGCTGGCGTTCGGGCCTGCGCCGTAAACTCGGGGCTCCGCACACACCCCCATGTCCTCAGCCGGTACCGCCCACGCCCCCCCCCACGCAGCCCCGGGAACCAGCAAGTGGAGCCCCTTCCTCCTGCCGTGTCCCTCCTGCGCCCTCTACTGGGGACATGTAGCACTGCGCTGCCAGGAAGGGACGCCGCCCCTGCGCAGGATCCCTAACCCCGACCCACAACCACGCGTGATCAGATCCTAACTCCAGCCGCGCAGACCCTCACCGTGGAGGAGTCCATCTGTAATCACAGGTTGTGAGTGGTGGATTTGGAGCCTAGAGGTGATCGTGAGTGGCACGTGGATGCGCACAGATGCTCACAGACACACGTGCACACAGAGACACACACAGACACGCGCCAGGCCCACAGGCCTGCAGAGGTGCAGACGCCCCTTGCTCTCTCCTTCTGGGCGGGCAGGGGTGCGCAGAGGCGGAGAGGGAGCCCCTCCTCCCCAGAGCTTCCCCACCCCCTCCACGAATGAGGCTCCAACACCTGTCCCGCACCTGCGGGCCACCCTGCTCCCTGGGGCCACCGGGCCTTTGCACAGGCCAGCCTTCTGCCGCCCTGCTCTCCCACTCCACCCACGGCCCATCCTCAGGTGCCGCAGGGGCTTCTGCTGGGACCTAGTCCGACCTGGCCTCTCCAGCAGAGCTGCCATGTCTGTGTGACCCAGCGGCAGTGGCCTGCCCCCCCACGGGTGTGCAGGGTCCCTGAGGGGTCAGCTGTGTCTGGGCGGATCCCCAGGAGGGAGGCTTGGGGCTGATGAGTCTCGTGGAGCACAAGGTCCACTTGGCTTTCGCTTTACCCCAAGGATCTCAAAGTTGTTTGAAAGTATCACCGTAAAGAACATTCATCCAAGAAAATCACTGCCTGGCCGGGTTGCTCCATTGGTTGGAGCATCGTCCCGTAGACCAAAAGGTCGTGGGTTCAGTTCCGGCCCGGACACATGCCCGGGTGGTGGGTTTGGTCCCCAGTCAGGGCACGTGGAGGAAGGCAACTGAGGCGGGCAGCCAGTCGGTGTTTTTCTCACACGTCTGTGTCCCTCTCTCTTTAAAAACAACAAAGAACTGCCCTGGCTGGCGTAGCTCAGTGGATTGAGCATGGGCCTGCGAACCAAAAGGTCGCAGGTTCGATTCCCAGTCAGGGCACACGCCCGGGTTGTGGGCCAGATCCCCAGTAGGGGGTGTGAGAGAGGCAACCATACATGGGTGTTTCTCTCCCTCTCTCCTTCCCTTCCCCTCTCTATAAAACTAAAAATAAATAAATAAAAAAGAAAAAAGAAAAACAATGAAGAACTGTCCTCAGGTGAGGATCAACAAAAATAAAGATCAGGTGAGCCAGGCGCCACCTGGGAGAGGGAGAGGGACCTTGGCTGGAGTCTCCCTCCCGCATGTCCCCCGCCCGCTGTCTGTCGGGAGAGGGGGCAGGGCAGGGCAGGGCAGGAGGGGTGCTGTGCTGCCACGCCCTTCCGTGTTGTTGGGGTTTTACCAAAAGCCTGTGTCACTTTTATAATCCATTTAACACACACGCACGCACAGCGTGTGAACTTTCCATCAGGAAAGAGCAGGTGTTGGTGATTGCAGTCCTGCAGGAGGTCTCGGGGAAATGGGGGCAAGCGGAAACTGCAGAGGGGTGCGGAGGCCCCGCCCTCAGCTGTCGTCCATCCCGGCCGGCACTTCAGCCCAAAGGTCGCCCCCTTGCTCTGCTCCGCCCCAGGGGTGCTGGGAGCCCTCACACTGTGGCTTCCTGCCGCTGACTGCAGAGTGGAGGAGAGGCGCCGCCCGGCCCAGTGACCCCTGGGACAGGCCGAAGTCCTGGGAGGCTGGCCTGGCCCCAGCGCTCGCAGCGGGCCACACCCACGCACGTGCTCACTCAGTCACTCATTCATGCCCCTGTGTGCCTGGTGCCCGGAGACTGGGGGGCGGGGGCACAGTGGGGACCCAAGCTGATCAGGTCCCAACCCCCACCACGTCCGGAGGGGGAGCTGGGTGGAAAGTTTTGGAACAAACGCCCTGCCCAGTCCCTAGGGTGCGGAGCAGGCAGCGGAGGTCCTGAGGCTGGACGGGCACACCTGTCTCAGACCCTTGAGGCAGGTCTGAGGGCCTGGATGGGCAGGCTGCAGCGAGAGTTGGTGGGGAGAATGCAGAAGCCCAGGCCTCCATCCCCTGGGGGTGGGGGGGTGGGAGGCTGCTGGGGAAGGTGGCTTTTCCGGGCACCGCACCCCCACCAGGCGCTGCACATGGTCCCAGACCCAGGGGTTGAACCTCCCTCGGGACCCCACTGGGACACTCCCCTCCCCCTCCCCAACCCCCACAGAGAACAGAGCCTCGCCCCAAACCAGGCAGCTGTCGCCCTCCTCCAGGCTTCCCTCTCTAGGACTGACCCGGGCACCAGCCTCCAGGAGGGAGGCCCCCACGACATGGCGGCTGCGGCTGCGGCCACGGCCAGCGCCTGGGAAACACCGGATGCCGGTGGCTTCGGCTTTAGCAAGGGTTCCCCTGGTTGGAAAGGCACCCCCCCGGCAGACCCTCGAGTCCAGTTTGCCTCCACACCCCACCTACGGCCGCGGAGCCCTGCGTGCCCGTGCAGAGTGATGCGGGAGTCCCCCACGGGTGGGGGTGGGTGAGCAGGCGGGACCTGAAGGAAGTGTGGGTCTGGACGGGGCGGCCCCTGGAGGGAAAGGCCCTGCAGAGGCCCGAGGCAGGGGCTGGCCTGGTGGCCAGAGGGCAGCGCGCCAGGCTGCGGATGGCGGGAGGCGAAGGCAGAAGAAACGGGGTCCCAGGCCCTGGGGGATTTCCCAGAGGATGATGGGAATCGTCGGGGGTTTTCAACACGGGACAGAGCGACACATTGTTTTAAGGAAACTGGAGGCTGGGGCAGAGACCCCCATGCGGAGGGTGGGGCCTGGACCAGGTGGTCCCCAGCGCGGTGGCAGGATGCGGCTGGAATCTGGAAGTAGGTTGAGGCTGGGACGTTCCAGATTTGCAGATGGAGGGGAGTGAGGGATCAGAGGAAGGAGGCAGAGGGGCCTCCACGGTTTTCAAGCTGAGCACCTGCAGGGGGCGTGGGGGCGGGGTGCTGGCACAACAAGGTGGAGAAGGGCACTGGGAGGGAGGGAGGGAGGGAGGTCAGGCCAAGAGGTGTGCGGTGGGGGCCCAGGCCCAGGGCCCCGCCTGAGCTTGGGAGGGCATTCGGAGCCAACGCCTGCCTGGAGGGGGCGGTGCGGGTGGTGGAGGAGTTGGGGAGAGGGCAGCACTCTAGGGTGAGAGTTTCCAGGGGTACCGGGCAAGGGTCCATTAAGAGAAAGTCTGAGGTTTGACTTATGTATTTACTGATCGTAGAGAGAGAGGAAGGGAGAGAGACAGAGAGACACAATCAGAGGGAGACACAGAGAACGGCTGACCGGCTGTCCCACTTACTCAGGCAGCTGCTGCTTGTTTGTGCCCCGGCCGGGACTGAACCGGCAACCTCGGCGTCTCTGGGCGATGCTCCAACCCGCTGCGCCACCCAGCCAGGCCCCCCCAGCCTTTAGAACCCAGAAGTCTGGTGGGCGGGGGCTGGGAGGAAGCAGCGGGAGCGATGAGGTGCAGGCAGGGACGCAGAGGCTCCTGGAAGGGGTGTTGTCGTGGAGAGGAGCCACAAGTGGCCAGGGGCATGGGGGTGGGGGTGGGGTGTGGGGCAAGGCTCTGTCTTTGTTGTTTCTTAAAAGACGGGCGAGATCCCCAGCACCTTAAGTAGGTGAGAAGTGGGTGGTCAGCAGGTTGCTCTGTGGCTGACTCTAGGAAGGACAAGGGTTCTCGGGCCGCAGAGGTGGTCCACTTGGTTCCCCAGGGTCCCCGCGGTGCCTGGCTCCCAGGAGGTGAGGAGGCGCCCGAGGTATCCGAGGAATGAAAGAGTGGCCGAACAGGGAGCCCTTCAAATTGTCCGGCCGAGGAGTGGCCGGGTGAGGAGGGGCGAAGCCTTGGCAGGGAGTGGAGTCTGGGGTCAGAGGGTGCCGACAGGGAGGGGTGAGGAAGGGGGGGGAGGCGCAGGGGATCGCCTGGGGGAGGCTGGGGTTTGGCACGCGCAGCCGGGATGAGGGGGCTGCAGGCCGGGGGAGGGGGCCCCCTGAGGTCCTACTAACAGCAGGTGTAGGTCCTGCGGCCGCGGCCAGGAAGGGGCGGAGGGTCCCTGTCCCTGGAGGAGGCGGGTGTGCAAAGGCGGCTGTCCAGATCAAACGCCAAGGAGCACTGCTGTGGACTCAGAAATGAAGGGCGACCTCGGCCAACGGGCGACCTCGGCCAACGCAGTCAGCCTCCTTGTCCAGGAGCAGAGGGGGCTGGCCAGCGAGGGTGGACAAGCCTTGCCTGCAGCGGGGTCTTGGATCCCAGCAAGGGAGGAGGGCGGCTGGGCCGGGACGACCAGCGGAGCCCGGACGTTGGCCGGCGTCTCTGCTCCCCGCAGCCTGTCTCCGCACCTGGAACCTGCTAACACGCCGTCGTAGCTCGTTGGGGGTCGTGGATCTGAGTTCCTGACCGCACTCTGGGGAGGCCGAGCTCCCTCTGTCCATCCCTCGCCCCCAGGTCACCAGCGACCGCTCCCCGCTGTCCTCTAGATGAGCGCTCGCCCTGGAATCGCCCGCCTCTTGTTAGCACAGACGGCTGGAGTTCCGACTCGGTGGATCCGGGCCCGAGAGCTGGCATTTCTAAGTCCCCGGGCCACTGCATCGCGGGGACCCCACCTGGGAATCACCGGCCCCGGAGCGAACTGCACGGAATGGCCACTGGCAGGCGGGCAGTCCCCGAAACCCCGGCCGCCGGCACAGCCGGAGGTTGCCGGGCAGAGCCGGGCGGCGCGCGCTCCCATTGGCCGCAGGTGGGCCGCGCCCCGCCCGACAGGTAGTGTCCCCGCGCCGCGCCATTGGGCCGCGGCCTAGGGGTCCCCCGGGGATTGGCCCAGGTGGCGGGCCCCGCCTCGCCCTCATTGGCCGCAGGTGCCACCGCCCCCGCCCCGGGACCGCCCGCCCCGCCGATTGGCCGCCGGCTGGGTCGGCCATGTTCGGACCCCCCCCCGCCCCCCCCGCGGGCCAGACGCCAGACTCCGCGCCCGCGCCCCCGCCCCGTCCCGCGCGCCGCCCAAGTTCGGCGGAGTTGGCCGGCGCCTCTCGACCCCAGCGCCGCGCGCTCCCTTCCGCGTTCCGCCGCCCGCCCCACCTGGCGCCGGGCCGCTGGGAGCCTCGCGCCATGGCCCGAGCGCCCGGGGCGCGGCGCTGACGGCGCCCGGAGCGCGCCATGCCCAGCAGGACGGGCCCCAAGATGGACGGGAGCGGCGGCCGCGTCCGCCTCAAGGCGCACTACAGCGGGTGAGCGGAGCGGGGCCGGACGGGGCGGGGGCGGCCGCGCCGGGCCGCCCGTCGGGGACCGTGCCGGCGCTGCCGCGGGCGTCCGAGAGCCGCGGTCGTGGTCGCGGCGCGGGAGCGAGGGGACAGCGAGGCGCGTCCGGCCCCCGGGCGTCCCGAGAGGTCCTGACGCCCCAGCGCCGAGAGGCGGCCCGGGCTCGCCCCCCGGCCGGCGAGCGCTGCTGCTCGCGGGGTGCAGGGGGCGCTCCGCGGCGCGGTCCTCGGCGCTGGGCGCCGTGTGGACGTTTCCCCCGGAAAGTGAGCCGGGCCGCGAAGGCCGCAAGCTGGGAAGACTGAACTGTGGGTCGGACGGTGCGAACCGCGGGCCGAGGGCGGGGGCCGGGGTTTCCCCAGTTTCCCCGGCGCCCCCGGCCAGCGTCCGCAGCTGGGGACCAGCTTCAGGACCAAGGCGAAGGCCCGGGGCGGAGCCGCCCGCGGCCGAGCGTGGCGGGCGCCTGGCTGCGGAGCGCTCGACGCGGCTCCCCCGGGACCGGACCTTTCGGACACCGATCCGCCCCGCGGCCGCGCTCCGCGGCCTGGACTCAGTCTGCCTGGCGGCGAAAGGGGGCGAGCGGGCGCCTCCCCGGCGGCAGTGGCGGGGAGCGCGGCGCGCTTGGCCGCGGGACGCCCGCTGGGGATGGAGGGGGCGGCGCCCCGAGCGCGGTGCAGACGGCGCTCCGGCAGAACTGGGCACCTTTGCCGCTTTTTCCTCCCACGGGGTCGGCCTCCAGGAGTCCGGGAATCGGACCTGGCTGCTGTCAAGGTCGCCCCGGCCCGGAGGGGTGGGGGAGCGGAACGCCGGTCCGATGCTGCGGGTGAGCCTGTCGGTCTGGCTGGCGTGGCACCCCCAGAAATCGGGGTCTGCCCGAGGGGCGCTCCCGGGCGGGGCCTCGCGCCCAGGGAGGGGCTTCGGGCTCTTGACCCCCCGAGTGTTTCTTGTTTGGGGTCTCTGGTCGCGCCCCTCCTGCCCCTGCGCCGTCTTCGGTCAGGCGGGGCCGGAGGGCAGAAGGTTTTGGGGAAGCGCTGGCGAGCCCCCCTGAAGGGGTCGGGAGGCTGCGGCTCGGAGCCCGGGAGGCGTCGGCTGGGTCCTGGGTCTCCCGCTCCCGGGAGGGCCGGAGCACCTGGGCTTGCCGCTGGGCAAACGGGCGCAGCTGTGGGATCTTTGAACGGAGTAACCCGGGACTTTGTGTAAATCAGAGATAGCCCTGCGTGGGGGGAGGCCACACCCAGAGCCCCCCGCGGTGGGTGCGAACGGGCCCTCCGGCAGACAGGTTAACGAGGCCCCCGCAGGCCCTGAGCTGGGGCGCGAGGATGGAGACGGGTTGTGGGGAAAGTTCGGGGGACCCCCGGGAGTTCTGCCCCCGCCCCACACCGGCTTTGGCCCCTGGAGAGCTCTTCGGTTACCAGGAGTAACGTGAGCTGCTGAGTCTGGTTTCCCGGGCGGATGAGGCCCCGCCCCGCAGACGAGGCCACGCCCCGCCCCCTTTCCTCTTCCTTCCCTTCCCGCCTCTGCTCTTCCCTCCCTCTCCCAGCTCCCCGCTCTCGCCCTCCCTCGCTCTCCCCCTCCCTCACGTCCCCCCTCCCTCCCGCAGCCCTCTTTTCTGCCCTGGGCTGCCTCGGTTCCTCCTCCACCTGCTCTCCCCGCCTCGCCCCTGCCTCCCCCCGGGGGACTGAGGTGGGAGACCGGGTCCTCGGAGCACGGCCCTGACGCTGGCTTGCAAGGTGCCCACCTAGACCAGCACCCACTTGCCCAGACCCCGTGGGCCCAGGTGACGTTCTGGCTCTCGGTGGTAGGGTGCTGGCGCCTCCCGGAGGGAGGCTGTTCTTGTGCCGTTGGGCCAGGGACGGAGGGCCGGCCGGACGCTTGGGAGCCACTGGTGAGAAGGGGGTTCTTCCGCTGCCCCCACTGGTAATGGTTCCTTCTGGTCACCCCTTCTCACCCCCCGAGGCCCCCGCAAAAGGGCTCGAGATCACGGTCTCTCTCGCCCACTGGGGCCTCCGGAGGGAGTGGGGTCTGGCGGCACCTGCGTCGTCCAGGGGCTTTGGGGCGATGTGCGGTGGTTTGGGGACCCTGCGGGGCCTCGGCCAGCCGCTTCTGTGAGGCTGTGGCGATGACGGCCGGCTCTTCCTCTGCCCAGCTCAGCCCAGCCCCCTGTTCCGGAGTCTGCACTGCCCAGGGCCTGCTGTGTGCAGAGCCCAGCGCCGGTCCTGCGCCCAGGAGACCTGGGCGTCGGGGGAGGGGCGTCCCCCAGGCTGCCGGGGGCGGACTCCTGGTCCCCCTGCCCAGGGCTCTGTCTTGCCCAGGGGGGCTGCTCTATTCGGGATTGGGGTGAGGGCAGGGGTGGTGGTCACGGGTCTCGCCCTGGGGGTGAGGGTGGGGGAGGGAGGGCCCCCCCCCCCGGGCTTGCTGACGTCATGCCTCACCGGGCTGGGAGATTCGGAGCCTGCCACCGGGTGCTCCCACGGTGTTTCCTGGGGGAACAGTAGCTCCCACTTAGAGGCAGAATGCAGGGGAGCGTCTTGGGGCAGGGAGAGGTCAAAGGTGAAGGGATGGCAGACGCTGACTTCCAGAGTTCCTGGGGGCCGGAGGACTGGGGACGCTGGGTCAGGTGACGCGTGTGGCAGGTGGCAGGTCGGGGTGACCCCAGGGAGGTGGAGCGGGCGGTGGCTGGGTCTTCGCCTCTGGAGCCCTCGCTGACGAGCACGTGCCCCTCCTACGCCCTCCTGTCCCGTCTGCCGAGACGCTGCCAGCCGTGGTGGCGGAGGGCCGGGTTCGCCCTGGCGTGCTTGGGGTCCTGGGGGCAGGTGATGAGGGTCTCAGAGCAGACGACCAGCGGGAAGGGCGGGCGGGCGGGCAGCCAGCGGCCCTCAGCGAGAGTGAGGTCGGTGGGCAGGTCCTGGACCCTCGCGGCCCTCGCCTTGCCGTCCTGTGGTCGGAGACTCTGTAAACCCGCGCCGGGGGAGTTCGGAAGCCGGCGGCGCTGACGCCGAGCGGGCGCTGCCTTCTGTGTGCAGGCCCTGCGCTGTCGGGTGTCAGGCGTGGGTGCCTGTTCCCCGCAGCCCCAGCCCGTGCTCCGAGGACGTACGTGCCTCTCAGTTCAGTGACGGCGTTCCCCGCCCCCGTTGGTGCCCTCCCTCCCCTCCGAGGAGAGGGGACAGGGCCGGCACTTGTTTCGGGGCGTGGCCAGAGCGGGAAGTGCGCCCCCGGACCCCCGAGCCATTTCCAGCCGTCCAGCATCAGCCTCCCGCTTTGGGGTAAAGAGATAAAAGGCAAAGGCGTTCTGCGTGACTTCCTTTTCCGAAACAATGCAGGGAGGCAGGTGAATGGTCTCTCCAGGGCATCCCTGGGCCGTTACAGTACTCCATTCTGCCCCTCCCCCTCCCCAGTTTTCCCCCCCCCCCCCGGGCTCCCATCCCGCCCCAGGCCTTCGTCTTGGACCTGATGCCCTTGTCCGCATGGTCCGGTGTGCCGGCAGGTTCTTGAAGGCTATGGGCGTGACCCACCTGGTGACCTTTCGGGCAGAACAGGCCCCCGTGCCTGAGCTGCTGCTCGCCCGGCTTCCAGTAGGGGGCGCCTCCGCGCAAGGGCCTTCCCGGTGCTAATGTAACAAAGTCGGGGCCGGCGGCTCTGGGGAAATCTCAGCTATTTCATCAGTAACTTGGTCGGCCGGGAACGCGCATTCGAGCTGACGGGCACGCGCGCCGCGGTGACCTGTCCGCACCCTCTCTGCCCAGGGACATGCTGATCACCAGCCTGGACGCGGCGACCACCTTCGAGGAGCTCTGCGCGGAAGTGAGGGAGATGTGCAGCCTGCGCCCCGGCCAGCCGCTCACCCTCAAGTGGGTGGACAGCGAAGGTAGCCCGGTCCCGGCCAGCAGGGGGCGCGCTGTCTCCTGGGCGCGGGAGGGAGGCCCAGCCCCCTGCGGGCCGCCGCAGCTTCGCAGCTTCCCGGCGGGGCGGGCGTCTGTCCCGAGGAAGAGGCCGCCGCCTGGGGGGGGGGGGGCAGGCTGGGCGTGGGCAGGAGGACTGCCCCGCACGGGGCCTGCTGTGGGCCTGCCCTCATCCCCTCACCTGACCGCCCTTGCCCAGACTGGGGGCTTGCCCTGGGGGCGGTTTGGAAGGCTGCGCTCCCTCCGTTTCCCCAAGGAAGGTGGGCAGGTGGCTTCCATCCGACCGCCCTCGCTCTGTCTTGGTCCCCGCCTCAGTCAGACGCACATCCCGGGAGGGGCCCCTTCTCGGGGTGACCCCGGCTGCGGCTGTCAGCCGAGGGCATGGGGCCACGCGGCCGCGGGTTCTCTGCGTGTCTGTGCTCCCCTGTCCAGCGATGGACCACCAGGAGCCTTTCCCTTTGGGCTGTGACGGACCTAAGAACATTCTGGGTCTCGCCCAAGCCCAGAAGCCCCCACACCTAAGCTCTGCACGCGGCTGTCCCGGGCTGAGGGTGATCTCGCCCTCCTTTTGGGGTGGCTGCGTGTCGAGTGGGCCCCTCTGCCTCGGACCTGCGGTGGCCTCAGCGACGGGTCTTGCCCCCCAGGTGACCCCTGCACTGTGTCCTCCCAGATGGAGTTGGAGGAGGCCTTCCGCCTGTCCTGCCAGCACCGGGTCGACGGGCTCATCCTTCACGGTCAGTGTGGCCGGGGGGCGGGCGGGCACGGTCGGGGTGGGCGGCCGGGCTCTCCGCAGCTGCCCTCGGCGTCCCGTCCCAGGGGCGCGGCAGCTTTGCCGGGCTGGCCGGGGGGCTGGGAGCCGCACGGAGGACCACGGTTTAAGATCTTAGGGCAGCAGAGAGTTGAGGACGTTGAATGGAACGCGGTGTGGGTTTTGGGTTTTCTCTCCCGCGTTATCATTAACCCAGATAGAAACGGCTCTTCCTGGCAGAGTCCGGGAGGTGCTCGCTCTCGGACGCAGAGGCTGGGCCCCGGCTGTGTGTCCTGGGGCTCACGTCCCGGGCGCACCGGGGGCCCGGGCTGGCTCAGCTGCCTCCCGCTCTCCCGAAGCGCTGAGGGTCGGGGGTGTGAGAACAGGCGGAGTGGGGCGGCCCCCCCACACTGCTCGGGGCCAGACCCGACGCCCCTCCCTGCGGTGTCCCCGGCTCACAGCCCCCCTCAGCCTGTTTGTCCCAGAGCTGGGATGAGCGTTGAAATGTCGCTGTTGTTCCAGTGTAGTCTTTAAATTGGGGGTTCACACCGTGCTCCCTACTCTCTCGGGGCCCCGCAGGGTGTCCGGGGCCCAAGGTGTGGCTCCGGCAGCCGTGGCCCAGCAGCCACGTGGGGGCCAGAGTGGGAGACTGGCCGCTGCTCTCCGTCAGCCGGTCACTCTCTCCAGGGCTGAGCTTGTGGCTGGTCGAACACCCCCCCCCCCCGTGTCGACGCTCCGCCCAGAGACGCGGTTCAGACCTAAAAGCTCGAGTCGACCGCTTTGTCCCTGCGGCGTGCGTGCACTCACGGCGCCTCCGACCTTCCCAGCTGCGGAGCGTGAAACTCCCGGCATGCCAGACGAAGAAGCAGGTCGCTCTGTCTCCGTTTTCTCGCTGTCCGGGCTCCTGTGTCCGTACCGTACTGCGGGAGCCCTGGGCGCAGTCCACCGCGTTGACCCGCGAGCCCCTGGGCGCGGAGACGGGAGGCGAACCTGCAGCGCCGGGGCCAGAGCGCCGGTGGGCCGCCCGCTCCGTGTCTCGCGATGTGGGGCGCACCCAGTGCTCGGCCCCCTGCGGCCCCCCGCGGCCCCACTGAGGCCCCCCTGCGCCCCTCCTGACCTCCCTGCGCCTCCGCGTCCTGCAGCAGGGACTTGGGCGGACACCCTGGTGCTCGGGCTCCCAAGTCTCAGCCTTCCCGAGCGTCTCCCAAGCAGGTGGTGGTCCTGGTCTGCCGCACGGGCTCTGCTCATGTGCTGGGTCCGCCCAGCCTGCTGCCCCCCACCCCCGCCCCGGGATTGGCGCCCATGCGGCTGACGCAGGCTCTCTCTCCCCCCCCCTTCACAGTGTTCCCCAGCATCCCCGAGCAGCCCGGCATGCCTTGCCCTGGAGAAGACAGTGAGTACCGCCCTTCCCTCTGTCTCCTGCCGCGTGCTGCGGCGGGGACCTCGACGTGTTTGCCGGCCAGGGGAAGGCGGCGTTTCCGGTGGCCTGTGGTGGACAAGTGCTTATCCCAGGAAGGCGAAGGGGAGTGACCGGATGGGGGGCCTCTTCTGGGGTGTTCAGTGGGGGGCATCCCTGCCTCCTCCTGTGTGTCTGTCCCGGTGCACGAGCAGGGCCACTGGGGAGGGCTGGTGCTGGGAGCCCCAAAATGCCTTCTTCCTCCCCAGGAGGGCAGGGCCCTGGCGGGGAGCACAGGGCGCATCTCGTGCTGGTTTGGGGGGGGCGGTGCACCACTGACGCACGGTGCCCCACCAACGGTGCCAGTGGGGGCAGGTGACCGGTGTGGTGCACCCGGGTCAGGGGGCGAGGGCGACGGCAGCGGTGGGTGGAGGGGTGGGTGCAGCCGGAGACCTGGAGGCTGGGAAGCCGGGGACGGAGGGGCTTCCGGGCAGCAACCCAGCCAGGGCGGGGCCGTCCGGGGCACGCCCGCCCGGGAGCAGCAGGTGACACGTGTGATGTGTCGTTCTTCTGCGAGTGAGACTTGGGAGCCGCAGGGATTCAGGTCACGGCAGCAGTTCGTGGGGTGGACGTGCCGCGGGTGTCCGGGGAGGCAGGGAGATGACGCTGTGACCCAGGACCCCTCCTGCTGCAGCCCCCGGTGGCCAGAGCAGGCCTGCTGGGGCAGGCAGCCAGCACAGGGGTTCCAGGGTCCTGCCCCTCCCCCGGGGGGGCTGCCCGCCTCCCATGAAAAAGGACACGTGTCCTGAAAGGCTCCGTCACGCCCGGCAGTCGGTGGTCTTGGATGCGTGAACAGATGAAATGCGGTGGGCATCCCTGCTGGGTTCTCGGGGGGTGTCCTGGTCGTTGCCACCCAGGGGGCTCTCAGCAGCGGAGACAGGCTGCCTCCGTCCACCTGTCCAGAGAGGTCTCCGGCAGCCAGCGTAGCCTGGGCATGGGCCTCTGCGCTGTCCAGCGTCCGAGAAGCTGGAGCCGGCTGTCCGCTCAGCCCCGGCCACAGTGTCTGAGGTCCGCCCTCCTGTGGCGCCCCGGGCGCCCCCCTGGCTTGTCCCTGTGGGGTCGTCGCCGCCCTGTCTTGGGCCCCCTGCATGCCGGCCTCATGAGGGGGAGGGTCGTTGGGGTCGGCTCGGCCTCTGCTCCACTGGGGGTGGGGGCCACGGGGCTCCGGGGATTCGGGTCTCCGCCGGAGGTGGAAGCGGGGTGCGTCCCAGTGGCCCTGTCCCTGTGGGGGGATGGGGAGAAGGTGGAGCCCTGGCGGAGTCCCGCCTCGGGCGCAGGTGCAGGCCCCCGAGAGGCCCTGGGCGGGCTCGGGCTGCAGAGGCACTGGCTTCCGTGGGAGGGCCTTCCACCAGCGCTGGGAGGCGGCGGTGAGCGGGGTGTCATCCTGGGTCACACTGTGGGGGTGTGTTCACGTGAGGCCCGACTTGGGGGTGCGGGCCCCCACTTGACCTGGGACCACTGCGGGGCCCTGGAGCTGTGCGGCGGGTGCTGTGGGCAGGAGCGCGCCCCGGGCCGGACTGTGGGCCTGGCCGCCCCTCTGCAGGCCCCCCCCTCGTGGCCAGGCCCCACAGGTGCGTGTCGCTGGCGCCTCCACCCCACTGGGGATCCCCTGTAAGTGGGGCGCCTGAGTCAGGCAACCTCTCCAGGGCGACGCTGCCCGCTCCCTGCCCAGCGCTCTTCGGCCCCTCCGACAGTGGGTTGTCCGCAGGGGCGGGGGGCCGTCGGGAGCCACCACAGGTCCTCCCGAACCAACTTTGCACCTGCAGCTCCCGGGCGCTGTGGGGGGTGTCTGTTGTTTCACTAAACGCCCAGTTTCATTCAGCTCTGTCTCAAATTATTTGCGACTAACTGGAAAAGCTAGTTTTCTGCCTGCAACAGGTTTCCAATAAAAGCAGCAGCCGGCCAGGTCGGCCGGGGTTTGCCTGCGTCCCGCAGACTGCACCAGCAGGACGGGGGGCGACACGCCCACCGCGTGCGGCAGCTCACACGGCGCCCGCGCGTCCGTCTCTCCCGGGAGCCTCACGTGCCCCGGGAGCGGCCGCAGCTCCCGACTCTGCAGACCTGGTCAGGGCGTCGCCGGCTCTCCCGAGGCCGCCCGGGCAGTGCGCATGGGGCCCTGCGGGTGCTGCGGTCTGTCGCGGCCACTCGGCTGCCCCGCGGCGCGACAGCGGCTGCCGCCACGGAACGCGGACGGTGGGTCGGCGGGCCGTGCCGCTTTCGCGTGTCCTGAAGTATCGCTGTTGTGACTTGACTCAGCTGGGCGGAGCCTCGGGGGCCGCTGCCCGCGGGTGGGGGCGCCCTTCGGCCTGCGTTTCCAGTGAAGGTCACGCGGGGACCTGCCCCCGAGGGTTGTGTTTGCACTTTCACGATTGTGCAAATCGCACAAGGCTGACACACACCCACCCACTCACGCGCGAGCCCCATAGCGACTTCAGGGCGAGCGGCAGGCAGGCATCGGAGGAGTCAGGGCTCGAACCTGGGTCACGGCCGGAGTCTGTGCGGAGCACGGTGACACAGGCGCATCCGAGAGCCCAGTGCCTGTGCACCCCCGAGGGGAGCGGGGAGGGGGTCCGGTGGGGACGCTTGTCTGGGGACCTGCCCCACGATGGCAGCAGGCGCGGCTAGAGCTGGGGGTGGACGTGTCCCCTCGGGTCCGCGCCCCCCAGGCGAACCCTGCTGCTCGGGGTCGGCACCTCCCCGCGGGGCTCCGGGCGGCCCCGGGCCTCCCCAAGTGTGTGTGTTGGATTTGAGGGAAACGGGCTTGGGCTCCGGTGCCGTGTGAGGGCTGAGGCTGGGTTTGGGGGGCCCAGCCAGGGATGAGGAGGAAGGTCAGGCTGGCCATCCTGGCTGGGGGTCTGCTCTGGCCGCCTCAGGCCCTGTGTGGGGTCCCCGAGGCCCCCACCTTAGGCTGCTGGGTGTGCGATTGCACTCAGTCACTCACCCCCCTGTTCTCACCCTCCTGTGGGGGGTGCCCCCCAGAGCAGTGACCACCTCAGGAGGCCACCTGCCCCATGGCTCAGCCAGCCTTCGACTGGACCCACGGCCTCCCCCCTCCCCCTCCCCTTGCCCCCCTCCCCCATGTCCCCACCGCCAGGTCACCCAGCTCGGGGCCCTTTGTGGATGCGGGTCAGCGGCCACTTGCCCTTGGGCCACCACTGCGCCCCTGCATCCTGGCCGGAGGGAGCCGGCCAGCTGGGCGCTGTCGCCCGGGACCTCTCGCCGCACGCCCCAGCGGAGCCGCCTCCTCCCGGCCGCCCTGCGCCCGGGACCCGCTCGCGCAGAGATGCTTGTTTTCATGTGACGTCAGCCCCTCCACATCCAGGCCGTGTTTTCGCTGGTGCCTCAGCTGCCGGCTGCAGCTCCCCGGGGGAGCCGGTACCACCGGGCCTGGAGACCTGAGGCGGCAGGGACGCGAGGGGTGGGGGACCGCCGGCCAGCCCGCCCTTCAGCGGCCGCCCGGCCCGGGAGCCCGCCCGCCCGCCGCGGGGCCGAGGGCACGGAGGGCAGCCCCGCGTGAAAGGGCAGGAAGATGCCCGCCTTCGCGCCCGCCGCCCCGTAGAGCAGAAAGGCGCCCGTGCGGCGGCGGCGGCGGCGGCGGAGGAGGAGGAGGAGGAGGAGGAGGAAGGGTGAGTGCTGCGTGCGCGCTCGGGCCAGGCTGCGGCCCCGGCCTCCCGGCGCCGCACCGACGCCCCCGCGGACGCGGAGCCGGCATGCGGGGGAGCGCGGGGCCCGGTTCCCGAGGCTGACGGAGGCCCGGAGAGCCGCCGCCGCCGCCGCTGCGGGGGTGGGGAGGGCAGCGAGTCTCCCCGGATGGGGTCTGTGCCCAGGCCCCTCGGCGCAGCCGCGGGTCAGGGAATAACCGCGTCCCCGTCCGAGCCCCGCGGGGGCCGGGGGCGGCCCCGCCGTCCGTCCGCGCCGGCGGCCGGGGGCATGTGCGTGCCTGGCTCCCCGCCCAGCAGCGCCGCGGGCGGCAGGTCCCCGGCCGCAGCAGCGTGCAGCGCGGAGCCCGGGGCGGCGGCGGCACCTGCTCCCCCGGCCCGGCCCGCCCCTGGCTCCGGCTCCCGCCGCCCCGGCCGGTCCTGGCTCCGGTTTGCGCTGACGACACGGCGCGGGCAGTGTTGACGTGCGCTGGCTGCAGGTCCTCGCGGGCGATGAGCGTGGGGGCGCCCCGCCGCCGCTGCCGCCGAGATGGTCGGAGGTAGACAGGTTGCGGGGGCCGGGGCTGCATCGGGGCGGGGGGGGGGTGTGTTTCTGACGTCCATTTTGCAAGGTGCTCCTGTGAGAGCAGCAGCAGCAGCAGCCGGCAGCCCCCCACGGGCTGGCGGGGGCCGGGGGGCCAAGGGGCTGTACGCACAGTGGCAGGTGCCGGGGAGGCCGGGGGCCGAGGGGGCCCTGGGAGCAGGGCGCGCCCCTCCCCCGGCAGCAGGAGGGCCTGCCCTGCAGCCCCCTGGTCTCGGGGCGGCGGCTTGCTGTGGACCCTCGAGTTATGAAACGCGGGCTGCGTCCGGGGCTGCCGGGAAGGGAGCGGGTGGCAGCTCACCCGCGAGCCGGCGGGTGGGCAGAGATTAGCTGTGTCATGGTTTCCTCGGGACAGCTCGGCCTCCCTCCTGTCGGGTGATCACGTGCCGGCCGTGCCGGGCCAGTGCAAGCCCCCAGAGCGCAGACCTGGGGACGGGGGCCCGGAGCGGGGCCTCAGCCGGGTCCAGCCGCAGCTGGGAACAGGGCACAGGCTGGAGCGGCCCCTCCCTGGAAGAAGCGCCCCCTCTCTGTGTCGATGCTGGTGGACGGGGCTGTGGCTGCCCGGCCCCCGGCCCCGGGTCCTGGCCCGCTGCGTGTGGATGCGCCGTGGTCCTGTCCCAGCTGGGAGCCGCTGGCCAGGCGCCGTCACCAAGTTCCGAGCCGCTGGCGGTGACCTGAGGGGTCGTGTGTGCTGTGAG